CCACTATTTATTTTTTTCCCTATTCACCTGTAGTGTTTTGCCTTAAAAAGCACTATTGCTACTTCGGAGAATTTGAATCCTTATAACAGTTAAAATATGTTGGTTAAGAATGGGAACTTTCATCTTAATTCGCAATTTTTAAATGTAATAAAAATACATCACTTATGCTTTGTGCCAATCCATTCCAACGATTTCCTGTTCAGGGAGGGCATCCCTAGGTTTTTGAACATCAAAACATGCACAAACTGCATAAATGTACAAAACCTGAACAGGAATAATCCATTTCCCTGTTTTTACAAAAAACAATAACTTTGAAGTAGTTGCCAAAAAAAAAAGTATAATGTTTAAATCTAAAACATGACTGAATTCTTGTTGACTTTAAATGGGTGATAGATTGGTTATGGCCATATTTTTTCCATCTTAGTTACCGGTATTGGCAAAATCATCTCTACCACCTACTGGACTGGAGTATTAATGGCTTGTTACACACAGGAGAGTAATCAAGTCTGACCCAATATTACAGTTTAAAAAAAAAAAAGGTTTATTTATCAGGTTTTTCTTCAACAAACGTGATTGGAACACACATCAAGCTACATGAACTTATTTTGCTGATACTTTTAGGTACCACAGCACTAAATTCACCCATCCAACTATTCATGAAATGATTTATTTGAATGATTTATGATATAATCCCTAAAAATACAACTACCACTAAACACCATATTAAAACAAAACGGTTTCCTGTTGGCCAGTCTACCTTTTCCTGTCCAGGCTGCCATTTTTTTAGCCATGAAGAATCATGAATGTGTGCCCGTCTTGCTGCCGATCGCTCTATAAAACTACAAGCAATCAAAAACTGCAAAAACCATTCAGGTGCCTTCCGTCCTATGCAATAGTTTGACTACCACGAGAAGCGTTCCCTGCAGCCTTGCTACCACAAGAAATCAATAGGATTGAATTTAACTTCAGTTTGTTTTTTCTTCCATTAGACCTTGACCCTCCAAGTCCAAAAACTCAGAACAGATTAGAAATTGCATTTGTTGTAGGCAAATCGAATTCAAATGTATTTTGAAGGCTCTTTGAACAAGGGCAGAAAAGCCCCAATGAAGATTTTCCCTGTCTCCTCTAGCCTTTACTTTCAGGCATCATGAAAATGATTGTTTAATAATGAAATGCCCTAACAGCAAGGTACACACAGCCACAGCACTAACTAGCCCCTAATTTAGCCCTGTCATCATACATTTTTTAAAGCAGGAATCAAGAACGATCTGTGGCTTAAAGTAAATAACGCAATTATGCTAAAAGGAATTTGTGGGCGTATTTTATTCTGCACTGACTAAATAGAGGCTTATGCTCTGATCCAGAGTATTTCAGACGTGCAGCGTTGGGGAGCAACTCATTTAAAAGTAGCTGGAAACTTCATAGTTCATTGAAAAATGAACATTCTTAACCTCACCCATTATGTCATTTCAAATCAGTAAGACTTGTTCTACTTTAGAAAACCAATTTTGGTCGTTCTTTCCCATGCAGTAACTTACAAGCTTCATATTCACAGCGGTACCATTAGAGACCAGAATTTAAGATATCCCTAAAACCGTGATATCCACCACAGAAAGTGATTTATGGGCGAGTCTTGAGTCCAATCTTTGAAAGAATCCAAATTTTTAGTAGAAAAACTGATCCATCTAAATCACTCATAACTAAGATTTTCATAAAATAAGCCAAGCAGAGCCAGGGCGATGTCAAGCTTCTTAATGTAATTCTGGTCTGATTCTCACAAAGCTATTGTACGATTCAGAAGACATGGAAAGTAGTCCACAAGTCATGGACCATTTGCATGATTTCCTGAACCTTGAAAGCTTCAATCCTGGTTCATTGAAAAAGCATGGGTCTCAAACATTCAAAATGTCTCCTTGTGTTTCACAGTAGAATGAACGTCCAAGGTGTGGACTCATTACTCACGTGAGGGTTTTATTTTTCAATTAACACCTAGACTGAATGTAGTTAAGCTACTTTAAAACTGCAAGCTAATCACAATTTAAAGTAGCTTCCTAAACACTGTAGACAAGTAAGGATTCCTTGGTGTGCGCCATTACGTGCACATTGATGGATATGGGTGGCTCGTCAGAGTGAAGCAGTGATGTTTTGCTATGCTTGACCTCAACAGTGAGCACTTGGCCCACATCGAACACTTTGAATGAGTGTCTGTCACACATGGCACCATGCCTTATTGCGCCTGGTGGAGTTGAGGGAAATAAATTACTGAGAAATTTGGTCCAGGTACATTTTCCTGCAAACTTTCCTCCACACACAGTGAAGAGAGAGAGTTGTCCCAAACGTCTTTATCATGGGAGAACAAGGGCCTTCTTCTGGCATTATCATTGTCTTCTGACAAGTATAAACACAGAGGCATAAAAAAACAAATAAAGTATGCCTTTCAGAGAAAGAGCAATTAAGAATCTCATTTTGCAACGTGAACCGCAGAAACTCTGCTGGGAGAAAGAAAACCAACAAGGAAATAACAAATGGTGCATTAAAACAAAGCAACATTGCTAAAGGACTTCTGACGACTTCAAGGCCTACGCCCCAAAACATACTCATGTTTCTCCAAACCCATAAGACGTTTGTTGTTCTTCAAAACAAAAATGAAGTTGTTTTAAAATGGAAACCTGAGGGATTTCTGTCCCTCCACTTAAAGTCTAAAAAGTCTTAGTCTTAAAGTCTTCACTTTTCAAAAAAACGTTTGCTGATAATTTACTTAAGGTTTTTTGATGAAAACATTCCAGGATTTTTCCTGGTATAATGGACTTCAATGGGAACCAAACAGTTCAAGGTCCAAAAGACAGTTTCAGTGCAAACTGCAAACTGTTCAAAGGGCTTTAATCGATTCCAGATGATAAATAAGGGTCTAATCAAGCGAAAAGATCGCTCATTAAAAAAAAAAAAAAACAAAGTTTAAGTTTTATAAGCTCAAAAAGATTTGTTTATTTTGATAAACGTGTTCGAACAGGAGAGTCACGAACGTGTATCGCAGTACAGAGCAAGGCGACCATTTGAGCGTTTTCACACAAACCGCTCGTTTCTTGTCTTAGGCCATCAATGTGTACTTACATTTACGAGTCATTAAATCATGTTTAATCAGTCCCACCAGGATTTCACGATTTTTTTTGTGTGATTTTTGCGATCAAAATGACTGATTTTGTGGTGGTAATTTCCAAAAATGTGTGAAAAAATTTGCGATTTACATATAACATTTACCATAATAGTATTCAGTCCTTCCAGAAAAACGCTGAGGTTTTTTTTGTGATTGTTGCTGGCAAAAATTGATTGATTACGTGGCCCGTTTTCTTTAAAAATGCGATGGAATATGCGGGATATTTATGCAATTTTATGCGACGAAATTGCAGGAACTTGCAAAAATTGCGGTTTGATGAAAAAGAGAAAAAAAGTGATTCCCCCAACATCCTGTTCTCACTAGGCTAATGTAAGAGTCATTTCTTATTACTTCCTTTGATAAGCAAGCATACTACATCATAGAAAGTGCTGGGAATATTTAATTTCTCATCTTGTTTTATTTCAGACTGTAACGAGTGTAAATAAGCTGTGGCCCCTTTAAGAGCTGCGCGCTCCCTGTTGAACTCTCTGCAGTGTTATATGTGCGCCTCGAACACCCCATGTGTGCGGGTAATTTCTGTTTGATGCTACTTCTTTTATATTATGTTGTTTATTAAGTAACGATGTGACGGTAGAACGTGTGACAGACAGTTATACGAGTTCGATTTGTGATGTCAATCGTCTGTCTGGCGTCGCGTAATTGCGTCGCTTCATAACGTTCCCATGGAAACAGGGGGAAATGGCTGCTCTTGTGTGAACATTTTTCAACTTTCTTCTAAGATACACGTGACTTTTTTTGCAACGAAAATGCGAGGATTATGAAATTATGCAAACCCCGCATATTTTGCACGGAAATCGGCAATTTGTGCGGCGAAAGTGCGGCGTATTTGAAAAAATGCGGCCCCCGCATAAATATGCGGACCTTGGCTGATTTTGCATTGAATTCAGCGATCGCATAATCGCGTTTTTCTGGAGGGACTGTTTAATTTTGACTTCCCTGTGCAAGCTTTTTAAGGTGAACCGAGGGCGGACCCCCTAAACCTGCATTATATGACTGATAGACAACAACGGTTTGACCGAAAAATATCAAAATTGGAAATACTGTGGAAACAAAGACACCTACATCTTGGATGCCCTTGAGGTAAGCTAAAACATATCAAAAATTCATTTCAAAGTGAACTATCCCTTTAAGGGGCGTTCACACTGACAGTGATTTGCTGTGACAAAGTGACCAGAAGACACTCGTTTTCACTCGTTGCGACATGGGCAAATGCGACTGTTGGCAGAAATGTGTGCAAATGAGCAGTGATGCGGTGTAACCTTTCTCTTTCAGCAAATGCAAAGTGTACTTGTGTCTGTGTGTTTTTGGCCTGGAGAACAAATTAGGCGGAACTTGGGGGGGATTTGATTCCTCGAAGATCAGACAAGGTCAAATGACCCAGGAAAAATGTATCCTCATAGATGCCAACAACAGCAGAGCCTGGGGAAAAGCCCCTTTCCCTCCATCCGTTGAGTGCGTCAATTAAGCCGAGCCTTGCTCATTGCATGGTTCGGGATTTTACTGTCCCATAAGTCCATTGGAAGGGTCCCTCAGGGCCCTTCAGAATCATTAATCTGGACAGCCCGTTTAGTCTACTAGAAATCGTACGCTCAAAGGTGTAAAGGTCAAGACATAGAAAGACATTGGGAACAACCACAAAGATTGAATCTGACAAACTTAAGATCCTTGGAAGAGCTTAAACGGGCATGTTATGACAAATATTGAAAAAATATGATGGTGAGTTTGTGAGTTTACACAGCTGTGCTGTCTGAGTCTGCAAGGGTCTTATACATAATTATGAGACTTCATATGCATATATCATATTGCAAAAGAGTTATTGACTTACCAATATACTCGAAAACATAAACCACAAAGAAGGGTGTGACAAGGTCATTGATGCCCTGAACGTAACCACTTGCTGGATGTCGTATTGCCCAGATGAACAAAATTCGCTCGAAGATCTAGAAAAAAAAAAAGAAGATAACATGATTATGTTCAACATTTATATGCAAGAAGCGATTTCATTTAATCATGCAATGCAACATGAAAACTGTTAGTAGCAGAATTTGAATGGACAAGGTCACTCAAACGGTTTTAATTAGAGACACAGTGGGATCAGCCACCCCCCAGCTAGCAATCAATTAAGAAAATCAATTAAGCCTTCTGAGCTTTTTAATCATTAACATCACAACATTCAATGGCGTAGACAGCAAGGTGAGAAATTACAATTAGCTGTGTGCATATTTATTAATAGATGGCGATCTCTGGGAAAGACTTTAGCCCAAAGTATAATTCAGTTTTGATGCAAACGATATGCTAATTTTGGTTTTAAGAGGAAACCAGAATAAGGTATTTATAATTTCCTCAAAGATGTATTTGCAAACGGGGAAACTCGAAATTCTAGATGATACCAGAGTTGTGACGTTGGAAAGGGCATCTCGATGTGAAACAAAGTTTGTTGCGAATGGCAATTCGATAATATTGTTGTGAGTTCGTGTTTGTCTTGTTGGTATAGAACAATTGTTTTGTACAGTGTAATGGATTATAACATCATAAACAGGTAAGATTCGAAAACTTATGTTAGTGGAAGCCTTGTTTTTAATGAGCTAATACAATATTCCACTATTTTGTGTCTAATTATTTACTTATGTGGCAAGTAGCTGTGTAATAAGTGGGATACTGTACTGTATATCCAGCTGGATCACACTCTCTGGGTTTATTTATTTATTTTTTTTTGCAAAACCACCTGGATGTACATTATCCCTTACTTAAAGGGGTCAGCTTTTGCTGATAATTTACTCACCCCCATGTCATCCAAGATGTCCATGTCATTCTTTCTTCAGTCGAAAAGAAATTAAGGTTTTTGATGAAAACATTCCAGCATTTTTCTCCATATAATCCACTTTAATGGGAACCAAACGGTTCAAAGTCCAAAAGAGACTTTCAGTACAAACTGCAAACTGTTCAAAGGGCTTTAAACGATTCCAGACGATGAATCAAGATCGCTCATTAAAAAAAAAAAATAACAAAGTTTAAGTTTTATAAGCTCTGTGATGTGCGTTCGTGACTCTCCTGTTCGGACTCGTTCATCAAAATGAACAAATCTTTTTTCGTGTCATTTGGTTCATTCAACTAACGAAATGAACGAATCGACTCGGAAAAAGATTTGTTCATTTCAGAATCGTTTAAAGCCCTTTGAACAGTTTGCACTGAAACTGTCTTTTGGACCTTGAACCGTTTGGTTACCAATAAAGTGCATTATCCTGGACTGTTTTCATCAAAAACCTTAATTTCTTTTCGACTGAAGAAAGAATGACATGGACATCTTGGATGACATGGGTGTGAGTTCATTTTTTTTTTTTTAAAGTGAACTACTCCTTTAAGCGTCACAAACATTTTAAATATTTAACAAAAAACATGTGAAAATTGTCCTTGTGGAAACCCGAGCTTCAAAAATAGCATAATAAATGTACACCACTGTAATAGAATATTCACTGTACATGAGTTTGCGTTTTAGTGTTTTAAGGAAACATTGTGCAATGTTAATGCCAGTCAGTGTTATTTTGTCAACAGTTTCAGTTTAATGTTTTATTTTATTGTTTATTTTGAGTAAAAGATGCGATTCAGGAACATGTCCTACTTGGTAAAACCGTGCTCATTTTTTAAATACATTCATGTAATCTTGTCTGAGTTTTGAGTAACAACTTCACCACTTTAACGCCAGATGTTGTTTTTAAGTTGATCTTTTTGACAAAAAAAAACAAGATTTTTTTTTTGGCGCTCCTTCCTTTGGAGGCAATACCTTAATTCAAAGTGATGGTGACAGTTTTGTGTGTGTTTTCGTCTCACCTTGCTGTCAGCACAATGGAAAGAAGCGAGAAGTTTGACTTAAATCAATGGAAGACTTTCTTTCTCTTCTCTGATGCATGCAACTGACATCTCCCGCGCTCCTTTCAGAACGTAATGTATCTGTCATCCCCAAATAAACTCATCTCTCACGTTGAGCCCTAAACAATAAATGTGTACAAGGCAGCTCGCGCTCGTTTTCTTTCCCGATTGTGTCGATCAAATGGTGCGGCTTTCACGTCTGCGCTCTTTTCTGTGATCAAAGCTCCATTTATCAAAGACTTCAGACTGTTAATGTGAGTGCCTCCACATAGCTGACATCTCCTGCCTCTTTCCTCTCTCGAACCCTCCCACCCCGTCCCTTCTCCTTCGAGGTAGTCATGGCAAGATCTCCTCCAGAGGTCTATTACATAGTGGAAATTAGACACTGAAGCACTCGAAGCCAAAATATGATCCGTTTATTTGGTTAGGAGACATCCACAGTGAAGATCACCGTTCTCCAAACACTGCTCGTGTTTGATTCTCCTTTTAAATGCGAAATTATTATTTAAAAGGCGGCGCTTGGAAAAATGGAGAAGGAATCTTGCTCAGGGCCACGATACATCGACAGAACTGTGTTTGCGATGGAAATTCATGGCTTGAGAGCCCATCACACTAAATTGAATATGTTGAATATGAAATCGAAAGGCCGTGTTGGGGGGTAGTTAAGTGCATACGCAAAGATCTTCACCAGAGCACCGAACAAACTGAAGGACATTCTTCATCGGTTCTCCTTTTTTTTAAATATATTTGAAGAATAATTCACGTCGGATTTAAAAAAATAAATCTAAAATGTATGTGCATTCAAATGAACCATGTGTATTATGTATTATTTCACTATACATGTTGATATTTTCTAAATATTTGTGAGGTGAGACCAGTTATCTTAGTTTTATTATAGTGGTAACACTTTACAGTAAGGTTTCATTGATTAACATTTATTAACTACTTTAGTTAGATTTAAATAAGAACAAACAATGCTTCTACAGCATTTGTTAATCTTAATTTCGACATTTGGAAATGCATTATAAAAATGAAAAATTCTATTTGACAATATTAGTTAATGCTAACATGAGCAACTGTATTTTTACTAACCAATATTAATAAATGTCATAAAGTATATCGGTTACTTCATGTTAGTCAATATATTACAACTAATGTTAACAAATTACACCTTTTTGTAAAGTGTTACCATTACAGTTTTAAGAATACTTTGAATTAGCAATTATTAGTATATTTTTTAATTATATTTGTGTATTTTTTATTAATATTTAGGATTTTTATTTCAGCTTTTTAGTTTTCATAACTTTCAGATAAGTTTTTCTCATCTAATATTTTTTTATATTTTAAGCTTTATTTCAATGAACAGAAATGGGACATATTGTATTCCATACATTTTGTACATTCAAAATATGACAGAATTATCAGCTTGATCTAGTGTTAAAACAAAGGTGCCCTTTTTAATTACAAATATCGTTGGCTCTTTGACAAATTGCTTTGTTTCTCTCTTGTAAGATCATGAAAGGGCAACTTCAATCCTGTAGGGTTTGGAACAGAACATTGGTCCCACACTTCCCTTTACATGCTGTCCATTTTGAATGCACGGTACATTTGGGAATAGCGGTGACGTGTGTTTGAGGACATAACAAAAGTGTGTTCTGTTCGCTAATTGAAATGTGTTAGTGCATGCGTCATTGACAGACATCATTACAAGACTTTCTTTTGGCATGCTATCATGTGATACAAATACACAGCATTTCATCTACCAACGGAAAGTTGACGCAAATGCTCCAGCTTAACGTGCTCGAACTTAGTTTTAAGGATTAGTTCTCGAATGAAAATGAGTTGATCATCTCATGTCATTTCAAACCTGTATGAGATATATTCTCCCAAGGAATACAGAAGAAAATGTCTTTTTTTTTTTAAAACTACTGTTCGAAATTGCTTACACGATTATGAAGCAGGACTAAAATTTTCAAAGTTTCAAAATGGATGCAAAAGCAACATAAGTGACCCAAAGGACACTATATTTCATGTTTTCTGAAGGAACAGAGTGGAAATTAAGCCCTTAAATTTTATAATACATTTGAATGACAAGTAAGCATGTTCTTCTCAATGATGATTCTAATTAAATGAGGATTTAAGATATGTATACTAATTTTACGTTAAAATGATTTGAATTTTCCCCTTGATTGTCATATAAATAGTCACAATTTAAAAAAAAAAACTTTTTTCTTTCATTTATTTACACAAGATAACATTTTTTAATAATAATAAATAAAAAAATAAAAAAATGTTCCTTAACTTGGGTATATGTGCACCCTCTTAGGGTATAGTCTGTTCTCCGACTGTCCGACACACATAAATAATAGGTATAGATCACTTCTATGACACGTGTATGGTTTCTGAAACCTGAAAGCTTTATTTCCCAATCATTCTAAATGTACGATGTACCACCACAGTCTTCAGATTTCTCTTGTGTTTCATTGAAGAAATAAAATCATATGGGTTTGCAATGAGACAAGGATGACATAAAGCTCATTCTGAAATGGATTGTTTCTTTAAGATGCTTTATGTGTCTGGGTGTGAGTATGTGAGAATGAACACGTCAAGCTGAGTAAAATGGGTAGTGCAAACTTCTCACCTCTTGCACAGAAGCTTGTTGAAAGAGAGGTATAAGAGGATTAGTTCTCGGTATGTCAATGTGAATCTGCAGGGAAGAGAGACACAAAAAAAAAAGAGGAGCACAAGCAAGTTAGGACAGAACGGAATAGCGAGAAAGCTCGGAGAGAAACGGGGGTCTGCCCGTTTTGAGGCTGCACCTGAGAAGAAACTCACTGGATTCTACTTCCTGTGCACCTTAATGCAAGATTTCCCACCAAAATAATTTGAGATCGAGACCAGACAGACAGTTTGACAGACAGACAGATGGGTGATGATTGAGTGACGTGCTTTCGGGTGGACAGAAGCATGTGGCGTGACCATCAGTCCTCTTACCTCGGTCACCTTGGGCTGTAGAACTAAACTTTCCGGACTCATTCGGGGAATATCTATGTGAATCTGATGGTTCAGAAAACACACACATATATATATACAAGATGTCGATGTCAAGAACATAGGGAGAAATGACAAACACACAAATATGATCATTATAAGGGATGCACGATATATCGGCCACCGTATCATTATTGGCCGATATATATTCTTACTGAAATTTGGCCGATATTTTAAAGCTGAGACTCTTCAGATGCGCCATGATGGTTTTGAATTGCTTGAAATATGATTGGAATCACTGCAACAAATGGAAAATACAGTGAAGCGCAACATGCGCAGCACAAAATCTGTCATATAGGCTTAATACAAATATAATGAGAACATTATAATTGTGTGTTTGGGACATGGCTTTTAATGGTGATACTTTTGTTTTTGTAATCAGCCTCTCGAAATTGTATAAAAATTTGGATTTAGAATTACCGGTCATTATATTGCTCATCGGCTTTCAAATATAGAGAAATAATTAATAATAATAATTAGGCACTTTGCAACCCAATTCTACTAAGTGGTTATTCTCATTAATTCTGGCTTTCAAATATAGAGAAATATCGGTTATCGGCCCAAATTTTCAAATCGGTGCATGCCTAAACTTATATATATATATATATATTTGCATGATATAATTTATGATAATTAAGCACTTTGCAACCCAATTCTACTAAGTTGTTATTCTCATTAATTCTGGCTTTCAAATATAGAGAAATATCGGTTATCGGCCCAAATTTTCAAATCGGTGCATGCCTAATCTTATATATATATATATATATATACAGTATATATTTGCATGATATCATTTTCATGATAATTAAGCACTTTGCAACCCAATTCTACTAAGTTGTTATTCTCATTAATTCTGGCTTTCAAATATAGAGAAATATCGGTTATCGGCCCAAATTTTCAAATCGGTGCATGCCTAATCTTTATATATATATATATATATATATATATATATATATATATATATATATATATATATATATATATTTGCATGATATCATTTTCATGATAATTAAGCACTTTGCAACCCAATTCTACTAAGTTGTTATTCTCATTAATTCTGGCTTTCAAATATAGAGAAATATCGGTTATCGGCCCAAATTTTCAAATCGGTGCATGCCTAATCTTATATGTATATATATATATATATATATATATATATATATATATATATTTGCATGATATCATTTTCATGATAATTAAGCACTTTGCAACCTAATTCTACTAAGTTGTTATTCTCATTAATTCTGGCTTTCAAATATAGAGAAATATCGGTTATCGGCCCAAATTTTCAAATCGGTGCATGCCTAATCTTATATATATATATATATATATATATATATATATATATATATATTTGCATGATATCATTTTCATGATAATTAAGCACTTTGCAACCCAATTCTACTAAGTTGTTATTCTCATTAATTCTGGCTTTCAAATATAGAGAAATATCGGTTATCGGCCCAAATTTTCAAATCGGTGCATGCCTAATCTTATATATATATATATATATATATATATATATATATATATATATATATATATATATATTTGCATGATATCATTTTCATGATAATTAAGCACTTTGCAACCTAATTCTACTAAGTTGTTATTCTCATTAATTCTGGCTTTCAAATATAGAGAAATATCGGTTATCGGCCCAAATTTTCAAATCGGTGCATGCCTAATCTTATATGTATATATATATATATATATATATATATATATATATTTGCATGAAGCACTTTGCAACCCAATTCTACTCAGTGGTTATTCTCATTAATTCTGGATTTTTCTTTTTATATATATATCTGCATAAATTAAAGGCAGTAAAAATATAAAACTGATCTTTTTTAAAACATTATTTTGCATTATTGTTATGAGCATTTATTACTCAATTATTTATTGTACTAATGTCACAACAAAACCTTAGTATATAACTAATCATTTATGTTCTATTAGTTGTAAAATATCCACAATTGAACATAATTTTCCTGACTAACTGAATAAGTGCTTGTCATGAAAACGTCACAAATGGCAAAAAAAAGCCTTAATGATCGTAAAAAGCAACTAAATATAACTTTTTTACTTTATTTATAATTTTGGAGTGATATACAAGAAATGTTCTTAACAGGCCAGTGAGAATCACCCAGTTATAGCTTGCGAGAGGTGAATCTCAGATCGTCAGTGATCACTAGACGGCAGTCTTAAATCAGATAGACATTTATCAGATCAGAGTGACAGCAACAGTTTGATCTTCACATCCTCCTGCCAATTTACTGGAGCTTTAAACATTCCTTGTCATATTTTCCTCTTCAGCATCTAAAATATCAGACACTACCTGCTGGTGGCATTTCTAAACGCTCGGAGCGTCTAACAGTGTTTTTGGCAAAGCTAACATACTCCTGCTGCCAAGACCTCAAACATTAGGTAAAACACAACCAAAACCCCTGACTATATCACATTAAACCTCTGGCAAAACTGAACTGCTGGCTTTGAACTTAGCACTGGCCATGCAGGAAGTTAAAAGGAAATCACAGTATGTGATTCAGCGAATTATTGTAATCATCATGTATAGAGATCAGTTAGATATAGGAGACATAGGAGGCCTTTTCCACAAAATGGGAACACTGGGTCTCATTCACTAATAATTGCGCGGATTATTTTGTGTTTGTATGCAGGGGATAACTTTGTGAAAAATATTGCTTGTGTGCACATGAATTTGTTCTTAATTTTATTATATTGTTGGTGAATTTGGAGTATTGTAAATACTAATCTGTGCACGAGGTTAGTCATTCGCATAAAACGTGCCAAAACCATCTCCATTTAAAGGCTTTCTGCACAACCTGTCAATCTAATCAAACTTGTCTTACTCTTTCACTGTATATGATCAAATATTTGCTGAAATTACATTTTATTATTTATTCATTAATTATATAATTGTATATATATATATCATATAATTAAATTAATAATGAATAAAATAAAAATATAATGTTAAGATGAAATATAAAACAGTAGGTGCTTTTTCAGTTCCTATTTTATTTTTTCTCGTAAATTTAGAATACATTTTAGTCCACAAGTTTTGGTGAGTCATGATTTGATCGTACGCAGATTTCACGCACAAATTTGTGTGTATGCAGGCTTAGTGAATGAGACCCATTATTTTTCCCCCAAAGAAAATGGTCAGTGAAAAGCCTATTAGATATTATATCAGCATATCATTTTATAAATAATTCTATAAATATACATTTTAGATTTCAACCATGTTACCAATACAGTTTGTATGAAACCTATTTTATTATCTATTATATATATATATATATATATATATACGAAGAGTTCAGAGGCAAAAGCCTCTAAATGCCATTTGAAATTTTCTTCTAAAATGACCATTTTTATCAAGCTTGTATATTTAAGTTCAGTAATTTCACTTAAATGACAATTAATAGTAATCTTCATTGCCATTTAAGTAAAATTACTGAACTTAAATATACAAACTTGATAAAAATGATCATTTTAGAAGAAAATTTCAAATGGAACTTAGAGGCTTTTGCATCTGAACTCTTCATATATATATATAAACAAACAGTCATGTTAAAAAGAAAGGACACCCTATTGAATTATGTAGTTTTATGTATCAGGACATAACAAATCATCTGGTCCTTGGCTGCTCTTAAAATTAGGTAAATACAACCTCACATGAACAAAAAAAAAATCATGACATATTACACCATGTCATTACTTAACAAAAACTAGGCCAAAATGGAAAAGCCATCAGTGACAAACTGCTTCCATAGGAATTAATAGTGTAAGTAGAAGTGAGGCGCTGCAAATCAAATGTCTTTGATTAATTTATCATCCGCATGTGTGACTAAATCTACAAAAGCAGAGGACTTGGGCACCTCACAGTCAATGATCCGACCATGAACTCCTCTGTATACCAAAGTATTACGGAGTTCATCTAATATGAAGCCATCTGTCCGACAGCTGAAGCTTGGGTCATGCAACTGGACAATAATTACAAGAAGAAGCACAGCAGCAAATCTACATGAGAATGGCTGAAAAAGAAAAGAATCAAGGTGTTGCAATGGCCCAGTCAAAGTCCAGACCTCAATCCAACTGAAATGGCTAGACCTAAAGAGAGCTGTGCATAAACAGATGCCCAAAAACCAATCAATGAACTGAAGCAACGTTGTAAAGAGACTGATACTGTCATATAGAAAACGATTCTTTCAACTTATTGCTGTTTAAAGTGGCTCTACAAGCAATTGAATCATAGGGTGTACTTAGCTTGCCACCCACGGCTTTTCCAATTTGGCTTTATTCATGGTGTAAAATGTCAAGTCATCTGAGGTTGTATTTACACAAATGTAAGACCTGCTAACGACCAGATGAGTTTTATTATGTTCTGTAACGTACAATAAAAACATAAAATTCTAAAGGGAGTCCTTTCTTTTTCACGTCAAGAGGATGACACACATTAAGACCAGTTTTTTTGTTTTCTCGGCTAAGTTAATTTTACGTTAGAATATAACATACCACAACAAAAATACTAACATTTTGACTCTAATGCTTATAAAATAAGTCATAAAACACAAATGTGTGTCCCATCTAGAATTAAATAGTCAGTTACCTGTCTGTATGTGTCCTGATGGTTTTCGTCGTTGCGGGAGTCATAGTACTGCTCGATAAAGCCGAAGTATTCCTGCCGCTTCCTCTGCAAAGTGCTTTCCCTCCGCTCTGCATTGGCAGGCAGGTACCCCTGTAAACACAAAAACTAATGTTTACAAGGGCCCGGACGAGATAGCTCGAAATCAATCTGATATATATATATCTGAATTCGCCATCAAAACTAGCACCATAGCACAATATCTGCTCATTTAAATTCAGAACTTTTCAGAAAGTTTGGAGCCACTAAGTTGATATCAGTCACATTTAAAGTTACATTTCCTCTTATTACTGCTATAGCAAGAGAATGAGAACACAGCAGATGTTCAGGCCCAGAAAAGAAAGTCTCTTGATAAAGTAATTGATTGCACAAAAATCTACAAGCACAGAAATCCATTTATCACAGAAGACGCTCCCCCATGTGGCTATTTTTTACTTCCACACTCAGTCGAGTTCTGTGACAAGATGTATGCGTGCCAAGCAGCGCTCTTCTCTACGCTCCATTAGCATATGTACATGTAATTAAGTCTAACACGAACATAAGTAATAAGTAACGTTCACATTATTCACAGAAAACCATGGAGTTAAAAAGGGTAGTTCTTAAACTTGATGGGGTACATGGGAGTGTTTCTTTATCTTATAGGCACGTTTGGCCCTATGGACTTCTATAAAACTCTTTCCAGACTTGCTACTAGAGCCAGACCAATATATCGGCAGGCCGATATTAGGTATTTTCCAAACTATCGGTATCGGCAGTTATAATGGCCGATAAATTAATATTTAAAAAATAAAATAAAAACGGAAGAAACACGCTTGAACCATGTATATATTGCTTGAATAACAATTAAAAGAACATCCCAGTATTTCTTTAATAGCGCGTAACAGTTATAGCAATGAGACGCATCATCTCTCCTTGGCCTGTTATATTGAAATTGTATGTTTTACAATTTGCAGTATAAGTTATCCATTGCTAAATGGCTCATCATAGACTAGCTAACCACAAAGCTAGCTAATGCTACTATCATCAGTCGGTTCTGTTGTGACAATAAAAGAAACAAGTTTCTTTTTAAAATGCATTATCATTTTATTTTAGTTAAAACTCATAAATAACCACAAATAACTAATGTTAGGGAAATCTGTTAATGTTTTGTTGTGCGCTTCTGTAATAAAAAAAATATCGGCCTATATATCGGAATATCGGATTTTATTATGGGATTTTTTTGTTTGTTTTTTTATCCCAAATTTGGATGAAATATTGACAAACCCAGTATTTGGGTTAACATTTTAAATGGTATTTTTAACCCAAAGTTTGGGTTTGTCCATCTTTATCCAAAATTGGGTTAAAACAACCCAGCATTTTTTAGAGTGTACTTTAATTTTTGTTTTATTAACAATATCCAACAGTCTGTATATGAATCATAGGAGACATAACAAGGAAAATTGAAATGTGTTCCAAATTCTAAACCAACAAAACATTATTTCCACCACATCTCAAGTTCCAAAAAAGGTTCGATTTTAAGAGGATTTGTTTTCCCCCTGGTGCTGTTACACTAAACAGCAGATCAAATCCTTGTTCTCTATTGGTCAATCAACATTGAACTCAAATGTTTACTTGATCTTTAATTTAGCCACGTCTATATGATAGAAATGTTACAGCAACAGTAATTTCTTAAACAAGAATATGTGGACACTGAACATGCAAACTAGACTTATTTTGAAATCACGATAAACATTTTGCATATTTCGAAACATATTGATGTATTCTCTTGTGTTGGCGAAGGTTTATAAATGATTTACCTTACACATCTGATGAAATGGCGCACATTTCGTACCCAGATAAACGTTATAAGCAATCCAAACAGAGAGAAGGAGTTTGAGGCGCGCTTCACACATGTAAATGATGACAGTAGGTGTGGAGCAGCTCTGAGACGCATGTAAACCTATATGCATGTAAAATAATTAAAGCGCATATATTAAATGCATAACTCACAGGGCAAATATGTAGTTAATTCAATCACAACCTTTGTGAATTAATAATCGCACTCTGCTATGGTATGATACAGAATAAACGGTCTAATTATATGGTTCATTGATTGTCGTCCTTGGAATGCGCCACTTCTGGTATTTTTGTCAGTTACTTGACACGGGTAAATTGCAATCGAGGATTTCTTTTTAATTGAGTACTCTAATTTAATCAAGAAATCGTGACAGGCCTAGTTCTATGTACATACAATTAAATGGTATCACACTTTTTGCATGATTTCACAAAACTAACTAAGGAATTGTCCTACTATGGAAGTCAATGAGACCAGAAACTGCATTTAAAAGTTGAAGAACTGATTGATTTGGAGACTTCGAAATCGGCAGAGATAGGCAAGCAATACAAAACAAAATCTTACAAGTTATTACTTCGCATCAACAACACAAGTCTGTTTTTTTCACCTCCGATCTCCACTTGGTCTTGACTTAGTCTGTCTTGGTCTCGATACCCTCTGGTCTTGTCTTGGTCTCGATACCCTCTGGTCTTGTCTTGGTCAGAATACCCTCTGGTCTTGTCTTGGTCTTGATACCCTCTGGTCTTGTCTTGGTCTCAGTACCCTCTGGTCTTGTCTTGGTCTCGATGCCCACTGGTGTTGTCTTGGTCTCGATGCCCTCTGGTGTTGTCTTGGTCTCGATACCCTCTGGTCTTGTCTTGGTCTTGATACCCTCTGGTCTTGTCTTGGTCTCAGTACCCTCTGGTCTTGTCTTGGTCTCGATGCCCACTGGTGTTGTCTTGGTCTCGATACCCTCTGGTCTTGTATTGGTCTCGATACCCTCTGGTCTTGTCTTGGTCTCGATACCCTCTGGTCTTGTCTTGGTCAGAATACCCTCTGGTCTTGTCTTGGTCTTGATACCCTCTGGTCTTGTCTTGGTCTCAGTACCCTCTGGTCTTGTCTTGGTCTCGATGCCCACTGGTGTTGTCTTGGTCTCGATGCCCTCTGGTGTTGTCTTGGTCTCGATACCCTCTGGTCTTGTCTTGGTCTTGATACCCTCTGGTCTTGTCTTGGTCTCAGTACCCTCTGGTCTTGTCTTGGTCTCGATGCCCACTGGTGTTGTCTTGGTCTCGATGCCCTCTGGTGTTGTCTTGGTCTCGATACCCTCTGGTCTTGTCTTGGTCTCGATGCCCACTGGTCTTGTCTTGGTCTCGATGCCCACTGGTGTTGTCTTGGTCTCGATGCCCTCTGGTGTTGTCTTGGTCTCGATACCATCTGGTCTTGTCTTGGTCTCGATGCCCACTGGTGTTGTCTTGGTCTCGATGCCTTCTGGTCTTGTCTTGGTCTCGATACCCTCTGGTCTTGTCTTGGTCTTGATGCCCACTGGTGTTGTCTTGGTCTCGATACCCTCTGGTCTTGTCTTGGTCTCGATGCCCACTGGTGTTGTCTTGGTCTCGATGCCCTCTGGTGTTGTCTTGGTCTCGATGCCCACTGGTGTTGTCTTGGTCTCGATGCCCTCTGGTGTTGTCTTGGTCTCGATGCCCTCTGGTCTTGTCTTGGTCTCGATGCCCACTGGTGTTGTCTTGGTCTCGATGCCCTCTGGTCTTGTCTTGGTCTCGATACCCTCTGGTCTTGTCTTGGTCTCAGTACCCTCTGGTCTTGTCTTGGTCTCGATGCCCACTGGTGTTGTCTTGGTCTCGATGCCCTCTGGTGTTGTCTTGGTCTCGATACCCTCTGGTCTTGTCTTGGTCTTGATACCCTCTGGTCTTGTCTTGGTCTCAGTACCCTCTGGTCTTGTCTTGGTCTCGATGCCCACTGGTGTTGTCTTGGTCTCGATGCCCTCTGGTGTTGTCTTGGTCTCGATACCCTCTGGTCTTGTCTTGGTCTCGATGCCCACTGGTCTTGTCTTGGTCTCGATGCCCACTGGTGTTGTCTTGGTCTCGATGCCCTCTGGTGTTGTCTTGGTCTCGATACCATCTGGTCTTGTCTTGGTCTCGATGCCCACTGGTGTTGTCTTGGTCTCGATGCCTTCTGGTCTTGTCTTGGTCTCGATACCCTCTGGTCTTGTCTTGGTCTTGATGCCCACTGGTGTTGTCTTGGTCTCGATACCCTCTGGTCTTGTCTTGGTCTCGATGCCCACTGGTGTTGTCTTGGTCTCGATGCCCTCTGGTGTTGTCTTGGTCTCGATGCCCACTGGTGTTGTCTTGGTCTCGATGCCCTCTGGTGTTGTCTTGGTCTCGATGCCCTCTGGTCTTGTCTTGGTCTCGATGCCCACTGGTGTTGTCTTGGTCTCGATGCCCTCTGGTCTTGTCTTGGTCTCGATACCCTCTGGTCTTGTCTTGGTCTCGATGCCCACTGGTGTTGTCTTGGTCTCGATGCCCACTGGTGTTGTCTTGGTCTTGATACCCTCTGGTCTTGTCTTGGTCTCAGTACCCTCTGGTCTTGTCTTGGTCTCGATACCCTCTGGTCTTGTCTTGGTCTCGATGCCCACTGGTGTTGTCTTGGTCTCGATGCCCTCTGGTGTTGTCTTGGTCTCGATACCATCTGGTCTTGTCTTGGTCTCGATGCCCACTGGTGTTGTCTTGGTCTCGATACCCTCTGGTCTTGTCTTGGTCTTGATGCCCACTGGTGTTGTCTTGGTCTCGATACCCTCTGGTCTTGTCTTGGTCTCGATGCCCACTGGTCTTGTCTTGGTCTCGATGCCCTCTGGTGTTGTCTTGGTCTCGATACCCTCTGGTCTTGTCTTGGTCTCGATGCCCACTGGTGTTGTCTTGGTCTCGATGCCCTCTGGTGTTGTCTTGGTCTCGATACCCTCTGGTCTTGTCTTGGTCTTGATGCCCACTGGTGTTGTCTTGGTCTCGATACCCTCTGGTCTTGTCTTGGTCTCGATACCCTCTGGTCTTGTCTTGGTCTCGATGCCACTGGTGTTGTCTTGGTCTCGATGCCCTCTGGTCTTGTCTTGGTCTCGATACCCTCTGGTCTTGTCTTGGTCTCGATGCCCACTGATGTTGTCTTGGTCTCGATGCCCTCTGGTCTTGTCTTGGTCTCGATACCCTCTGGTCTTGTCTTGGTCTCGATGCCCACTGGTGTTTTGGTCTCGATACCCTCTGGTCTTGTCTTGGCCTCGATAGCCTCTGGTCTTGTCTTGGTCTCGATACCCTCTGGTCTTGTCTTGGTCTCGATGCCCACTGGTGTTGTCTTGGTCTCGATGCCCTCTGGTCTTGTCTTGGTCTCGATACCCTCTGGTCTTGTCTTGGTCTCGATGCCCACTGATGTTGTCTTGGTCTCGATGCCCTCTGGTCTTGTCTTGGTCTCGATACCCTCTGGTCTTGTCTTGGTCTCGATGCCCACTGGTGTTTTGGTCTCGATACCCTCTGGTCTTGTCTTGGTCTCGATAGCCTCTGGTCTTGTATTGGTCTCGATACCCTCTGGTCTTGTCTTGGTCTCGATGCCCACTGGTGTTGTCTTGGTCTCGATGCCCACTGGTGTTGTCTTGGTCTCGATACCCTCTGGTCTTGTCTTGGTCTCGATGCCCACTGGTGTTGTCTTGGTCTCGATACCCTCTGGTCTTGTCTTGGTCTCGATGCCCTCTGGTCTTTGTCTTGGTCTCGATACCCTCTGGTCTTGTCTCGATACCCTCTGGTCTCGATACCCTCTGGTCTTGTCTTGATCTCGATGCCCTCTGCTGTTGTCTTGGTCTCGATGCCCTCTGGTGTTGTCTTGGTCTCGATACCCTCTGGTCATGTCTTGGGCTCAGTACCCTCTGGTCTCGCCATGGTCTCGATACCCTCTGGTCTTGTCTTGGTCTCGATACCCTCTGGTCTCGCCTTGGTGTCGATACCCTCTGGTCTGTCTTGGTCTCAATACCCTCTGGTCTTGTCTTGGTCTCGATACCCTCTGGTCTTGTCTTGGTCTCGATACCCTCTGGTCTTGTCTTGGCCTCGATAGCCTCGGGTCTTGTCTTGGTCTCGATACCCTCTGGTCTTGTCTTGGTCTCGATACCCTCTGGTCTTGGTAGTGTCTTGGTCTCGGTTTAGGCAGTCTTGACTACAAGTTTACAATCAGTTTACATGCATGTTTGCAACGTCAAAAAACACTTTAATTCCCTTTTAATAAACATTGCCCATCACTTAATTTCCCCAAAACTTGAACGTTTTGTTCAAAGATTCAGTCTCTCTGAAACCCTCCTTTCTGAAAGCCTACTCTGATGGCCCAGTCTGTTGTGATTGGTGTACCGCTAACAGAACACATAAGAAACAAAGAATTTCAGCTCTTCTGCAACTAGTGTTTGAGGGAGATCAAAGTAGATGTTGTTCGCAGGCAGCCAATAAAAACCATAGGCTGGCATTGTCCAAATTTGTTACATAGAAAGTAAGAATGGAATTGCTGACGAGTCGTTTCGGCAGTTCAGAATCGATTCTCCGTTAGAAGACAATAACTTTATTTGTTGTGCACATTGATCTTTAAAACATTGCAGACCTATTACAATCAGACAGCTATTTTACAGACTGCATGAAAGTGTTTCCGTCTACAAAAAAGAACTGTTGTTATTAACAACACCCACAAAGGACGACAACAATGATCTAGCACTCGTGTATTAACACCGCATGAGGTGAAATGAACATGAGATGAAGTTGTTGTTCTCATTTTGTTGCCAGAGAAAGAGAAAGAGAGAGAAAACATGGCATTGTTCACAGCAGGTGCAGAGGTCCAGGAACAACAGGCCCGTAATAAATGTATCCCAGCAGCTGGGTTTGGATGAACACATGCGTAAGGTCTGTGTCCAGGCACTGGCTCTGCATCAACCCGCTCCCACCTGCTCACGACGGGACACCATTACTCAAACACCTCGTATTAGTGCGAGTGAAACCACCATTTAATCATCTGCACAGCTTTATCCTTTTATTTATTAAAGCCCACCGTGTGCTATTTCACTGAGTGTGGGTGGGTGAGAAAGAGATGGGTCTTCCACCACCTCCAAAACATAGTTACAAAGGGGAATACGAGACACACACACACATATATACTGTATATATATATATTTTAATCGCACACCATCGAAATCTTACTTTAGAACACTCACAACTGCACTTTTTAACTAGTACAAGCCAGTCCTTTTTAGCAGTTATTGCTGTCATACCCACAAATAAACAAGGCATCATGGGGATTGTGGGTAAAATTTCAATTCATCAGAGCAAAGCACCAGCTCTTTTTGTCATGGCGACAGTGCCATTACCTCACATACCGTAATGAAACCCTCTGTTACAAGGCAAACATTTCTATTGTGTTCACATCAAGTCGAAAGATCAGACAGATGTAACCATAACTGTATCTTTTTTTTTTTAACAAAAAAGATTCACAGCATGTCTCAGCTACCTTCTATTGTAGAAAAACGAAGCCAAAATATCCCAGTAATGCAGGTGATTGTTTTCCAAGTGGTTGCTAGAGTGAAGTTTAGTGGTTTCTATGCAGTTGCTAGGTAATTTATTGGGTTCTGGTGTGATGTAAGGTGGTTGCTAGGTTATTGCTTGATGTTGTTGTCAGGTGATTGTTGGAGTGTTCCAGGTGATTGATAGAGTGATGTTATGAGGTTGACGGGCGACTGTTAGGTTGTTATAAGTGGTTGCTAGAGTGAAGTTTAGTGGTTTCTATGCAGTTGCTAGGTAATTTCTTAGGTTCTGGTGTGATGTAAGGTGGTTGCTAGGTTATTGCTTGATGTTGTTGTCAGGTGATTGTTGGAGTGTTCCAGGTGATTGACAGAGTGATGTTATGAGGTTGACGGGCGACTGTTGGGTTGTTATAAGTGGTTGCTAGAGTGAAGTTTAGTGGTTTCTATGCAGTTGCTAGGTAATTTCTTAGGTTCTGGTGTGATGTAAGGTGGTTGCTAGGTTATTGCTTGATGTTGTTGTCAGGTGATTGTTGGAGTGTTCCAGGTGATTGACAGAGTGATGTTATGAGGTTGACGGGCGACTGTTGGGTTGTTATAAGTGGTTGCTAGAATGAAGTTTAGTGGTTTCTATGCAGTTGCTAGGTAATTTCTTAGGTTCTGGTGTGATGTAAGGTGGTTGCTAGGTTATTGCTTGATGTTGTTGTCAGGTGATTGTTGGAGTGTTCCAGGTGATTGATAGAGTGATGTTACAAGGTTGACAGGCGACTGTTATGTTGTTATAAGTGGTTGCTAGAGGTTTCTAGGTAGTTGATAGGTGATGTATAGGGTTCTGGTGTGATGTAAGATGATTGCTAGGTTAATGCTAGGGTGTTGCTTGATGTTGTTGATGTGCGACTGTTAGGGTGTTTTAAGTGGTTTACTACAGTGATGTCAAGTTTTTTCTAGGCATTCCCTAAGTGATGTCTAGGGTTCTGGTGGGATCTAAGGTGGTTGCTAGGGTGTTGCCAGGTGATTGTTGAGGTGTTCCAGGTGGTTGTTGAGTGATGTTAAGAGGTTGCTAGGTGACTGTTAGGGTGTTATAAGTATGGCTGTGCAAAAATATCGATACAGCTAACTATCGCAATATTTATTTTTTTTTTTCACGATAGTGTATCGATATTTCAACCTCTAAAAAAAAAAATTGGTCTCTCTCTCGCGCGCGCAGACACTGGTCTCCGTGATGCGTCCTGTTGTTTCATGTTTCTCATGCTACGGCCAATGTAAGTTAGTGGGAGTGAGAAAATGGCGGAAAATTTAAATACGCCTGCAGTGTTATTTTGCTAAACGTAAAATTTAATCCTGTGTACGAGCAATAATGATCCTTGCCTTTGCAAAAACCACTAATAAAACCTTTATTGTCTAGGGGCTACCTGACAAAAGAGAAATGATTTCTTCTTAGGAAAGCGATGAGCGTAGTTCGGTGGCAGTTTGAGACGTCAGCAGGATGCACAGAATTGATCACGCGTTAAAGCGCCCATTCAAACAGTGATGCCGCCCTCCTCAGGTCATTACTCTTGTTAAAGGATGCTTTCCAGCTGTTCACGCTCGCTCTCCACTCACTCAAACACAAGTACACACACACAGATGAACTCACAAAGTGCACACCTGCACAGGAGCTCAATAGCGTGGATCGATGAGGTTTGATTGAGTGGGGCTGCAGTCCAGGGTTCAAGTCAAGATGACAGATGAGGTAGCCATAGGCAAATGAAGGTCACACGGGTAAATTGGTTGTTTCTGTGTGTGTGTGTGTGACCACACGCTAGCCTAGAAGGGGGTCAGAATATCAAATATCCCCCTCCATTTCATCCTGTTTCAGACTGGCACATCATATATCAGTGTGGCAGGAGGGCATACTGCCGCCTGTCTGTGTGTCAAAGGGTACGACCACACACAACCCCCTCATCACGCCAGTCCTGTCCTGGGGGGAACGCTACACCAGTTATGTACTTCGTATCTTTCATCCATTATAAAAAGTGAAATGTGTATATTATGCGTCAATCCTTTCTTAAAATGTATGATGTATAAAATGAATGTATGATAAAATGTTCGACCACTGAAACAGTTTAATGCACCATTCGTTTTCAGTCTACTGGACCTCTGAGCTTCCAGGCGGATGTCATCTTCGAAGTCATTAGTAGGAAGCCTAATTACTTATAAATGTGTATTTATGTAGAATGCATTATGTATTCTTTGATTCATCTTGTAATGGATGTGTGCTGCAGTTCTCTAATGAGTTTGACCATTTGATGCAGGACTTCACTGTGGCTGAGATCGTTCTACTTACTGAGAGGAGCTTCCATGTGATCGGGCGCACCTGCCGCGGAATCCCAGACCAGCTCAACTTCCGAAGCTCATCTGCGGAAAGGAACGATTTTTATTAGAAAATTACTAACTCAGAATAGAACTATGACTTTATCCCTTGTGAATAGACTGAATTATTAACCAATGACATGACAAAATGTTCAGGATGACAAAATGAAAAAATGTTCAGGACAAAATGCTGCAGGTTTCTTCAAAAATATCGCAATTATATATATATATATATAAATCTGGCATATTTAAAAGTGTGGATAGCCTCCAAAAAAAGGATTCAGCCTATAGCATTTGAATTCTATGGGCACACCACGCTTTCAATAAGCACTGCTTAAGTGTGAATATGTGAACCCAAGAGTGCCAATAAATCTCAGTGAGGCAAATTTGACTTTTAAAATGGACAAAGAGTCCCCGCAGAGCCTTAAAAGAATGAAAAAAGAACTTTAATAGCAAATATTTCTCATTTCGTATCTGTATTGCATATTTCAAGGGTTGATGGCAGCGATCATAATGTGTTGAACGTGGATTAGTCATTTCTCAGAGCCTTGACAATAGGCTGCAGTGTAATGTGCATGCATTTTTTTTTTTTGACATCAAAGATAAATCTGAATTTTAAATCAGAGGTTGGTTTAAAAATTCATACAACAGACCAAATGTGCAATGAATACAACATAACCTTCTGGGGCTAGCGTTTTTATATTTTTCAAAAAAAAAAAAATCTTTCTGATATCAGAGCTGGATATTTTTTGTGCAGCTTCTTTGTCAGGGCAAAATGAAGACTGAAGAGTATAAATAATGAAGTGTTGTTATGACTGCCATGCAAATATGAGTGACTGTAAAAACAGACGTGATCTATTTATTTACACATAATTCATTATTATTGATGGCATGAATAAATGATTATTGAATGAAATATTGACCCAAATTATTCCCCACATTACATTAGCAGGACCACCAAAAACTTTTTCTGATCTGCAAAAAAGATGGACTGGCATACGAATGGAAAGAAAAAGATGGATGGATGGATGGATGGATGGATGGATGGATTGACGTAAGGGTGGATGGATGGATGGTTGGATGGATGGACGGATGGATGGACGGACGGACGGATGGACGGACATAATGATGGATGGATGGATGGATGGATGGATGGACGGATGTAAGGATGGATGGATGGATAGATGAATGGACTGACATAATGATGGATGGATGGATGGATGGACTGACGTAAGGATGGATGGATGGATTGACTGACGTAAGGATGGATGGATGGATGGATGGACTGACGTAAGGATGGATGGATGGATTGATGTAAGGATGGATGGATGGATAGATGGATGGATGGATGGATGGACTGATGTAAGGATGGATGGATGGATGGATAGATGGATGGATGGATGGATGGATGGACTGACGTAAGGATGGATGGATGGATTGACTGACGTAAGGATGGATGGATGGATGGATGGACTGACGTAAGGATGGATGGATGGATTGACTGACGTAAGGATGGATGATAGACTGACGTAAGGATGGATGGATGGATGGATGGATGGACTGACGTAAGGATGGATGAATGGAAGAATGGATGGATTGACGGATGGATGGATGGATGGACTGACGTGAGGATGGATGGATGGATTGGATGGAAGGATGGATGGATGGATGGATTGACAGATGGATTGACAGATGGATTGACGGATGGATGGATAGACTGATGTAAGGATGGATGATGGATGGACTGATGTAAGGATGGATGGATGGATGGACTGACGTAAGGATGGATGGATGGATTGACTGACGTAAGGATGGATGGATGGATGGATGGACTGACGTAAGGATGGATGGATGGATTGACTGACGTAAGGATGGATGATAGACTGACGTAAGGATGGATGGATGGATGGATGGATGGACTGACGTAAGGATGGATGAATGGAAGAATGGATGGATTGACGGATGGATGGATGGATGGATGGACTGACGTGAGGATGGATGGATGGATTGGATGGAAGGATGGATGGATTGACAGATGGATGGATAGACTGATGTAAGGATGGATGATGGATGGACTGATGTAAGGATGGATGGATAGATGGATAGACTGACATGAGGATGGATGGATGGATGTACGAATGGACTGACGGATGGATGGATGGATGAATGGACGTACGAATGGACGGATGGATGGGCAGAAAGAAATAAAGGATGGACAGATGGAACTTTTTTGTTCCATACACTTTTGCAAAGCAGGGAAAAGAGCAGTCTGAACATTCTTCAAAGGAAGTCTTACAGGCTTGGAAAAACATGAAGGTGATTTCTCATTTGTATTACCTTGTTATTTTATCTGACTCCATAAATGAAAAGGTTGTAATAATATATCTGAACATCATTAAATGTAAGCGAATGTTTGATTATTTATTTTAACTCTTTACTCATATTTTAACCGTTCATATTAGGAAACTGTCGGAAATATAGGTAGGAAATATAGTAGGAAATACGAATCCGTTTAATCTACTTGGGAAACCAGTTTCAGGCCCCATCCACACTACTGCGTTTTCACTGAAGCTCCGTTTTCCGTTCTGAGAGAGTCCGACGCTCGGCTCTGTGATTGGGTGTCATCAGTCATGACGTATTCTTCCCTGATTCGCCAGCTGTTCGTCATGACGTATCCTTCCTGATTCGTCACCGTTTACAGTGTTGGTGAATGGTCACGTGATCCGCGTTTTCAGTCGTTTTAATGTGGACGGAGATCAATTCTAATACGCTGATAAAACGCTGGTGTTGACGGATATCGTATTCGTTTTAATTATCCGTTTTTAAGTGAAAACGCAGTAGTGTTGACCTTTAGAGTCAGTCAGAATAAAATGTAACAATTTATTACGTCAGTTAAATGTTTCATGCCAATTTCATAATCAGTTCAAAGATAATAAATACAAAACATCAAATAAATATACAGTAGAATTTGAACAAAAAATCGCACTGAACACTCTTCAGCATCTCCCTAAATACCGTTTCAAATGTAAAGATGAGTTCACAATGGGAATTAGCATGAATCACCGTCCCAGACTTACTGGGGACAGAAGTTGATTTACATTAGGGCACACCCACAACAGTTAACAGGATATCTCTAAACTCTCCACACCTTGGTTTACTTCTGGAGGAATGATACCTTTGTACCAGTCACACTGAGCCATTTCAAATGATACCAGACATGTATAATACTTTATGATAATTGTTCATATTAAACCATTTAGATGTATAGGTGAAGGGAATACTGTGTATTTTGGGAGGTGATCCACTCAGGTGTGATCGTGTCTTAAATGGGGATGATAGCAAGAGAGTTCAAATGTTAATTCCCCCTTTTTTTCCTTAGAGAGTGGCTTTCAGTTTTAGTAACTTTCAGTTTCTCTTCCAGTTTCAACAGGGGTCAATCATGCAGTAATCCAGGTTATTCCAAAGTCTTCATTAAGCTATACATCATTATAAAAGATACCATTTCCAGTCCAATGAATGCATTTGCGCCAGTCTTCACTGTGCTTGTGTAAATAGCATATAAGGACAGAGGTATGAGTGTGTGTTCTATCCAGGCAGGTATGCTGGTGTACTATATGAGGACGGCAGGTTGTCCTGACACATTGAAGGCTAGCTTTAATGTGCGTGCTGCTTTACGCGAGAACTTTATCGGGAAAGCGCTCAATTCATTAAACACAGAGCCACTCAAGGGTGTCTCCTCGGCTCGCACCTTTGAACCCTCATTTGCGCTGTCAGCTGCAGAAATTAGTCGATGAATCTTGTGCCCTGGCACTTAATTAAACTATCTGTTATATTTCCTCCACGTGGCATTAATCTCACAACGGGAGGGGAGGAAGAGAGAGGAATTAGACGTTCACTATTTCATCAGCTCATTGTTGCTGTCTTTGTCCCTCTGGAGACGGTGACCTCAAAAGAGGTTGTGATCGTCCGGACAGTTGCCAGCTAAATGAGTCTCACGAAACCCGTATAAAATATGCCTGGGCCGTATTTAACCCGATAATCAAAAGAGCATGCTCAAATCTGTTGCTTAAATAAAAATGAATTTGCATTAAATCAAGAAAGCACATTTGCACCAAAATTCTTATTAATGTAATCCTAAAAACTCAATTACCACAATGTGAACTGCCTTAATTCTAAACAACAGAACACAACAGAACTGCCTTAATTCTACATGGCATTGATTCAACAAGGTGCTGAAAGCATTCTTTAGAAATGTTGGCCCATATTGATAGGATAGCATTTTAGTACAGTGAACTCATTTTCATGTTCAAGATACCAATTTGAAATGATTCAATCTTTGTGACATGGTGCATTATCCTGCTGGAAGTAGCCATCAGAGGATGGGGACATGGTGGCCATAAAGGGATGGACATGATCAGAAACAATGCTCAGGTTGGCCGCGGCATTTAAACAATGCCCAATTGGCACTGAGGGACCTAAAGTGTGCCAAGAAAACATCCCCCACACCATTACACCACCACCATCACCAACCAGTGGTAACAAGGCATGATGGATCCATGTTCTCATTCTGTTTACGCCAAATTCGGACTCCACCATCTGAATGTCTCAACAGAAATCGAGACTCATCAGACCAGGCTAGGGGTGCAATGGTACAGATAGCCCACGGTACGGTCCATACCTCGGTTTTTGGGCCACGGTCTCGGTTCGGTTTCGGTACATGTTTTGTGCAGAAAGAGACTGCTATTTCATCCCAAAAATATGTTTTATTTTTCTTATATGCATTAACATAATGTCACAGTAGGAAGAACATCAATGTGTATGAAATAAATTAACACTCTATAGTCTGTACTGAACAGAACTAAGTAATACAACCTCTTCAACTACCACTTATAAAATACAAAATGTAAACAAACACACTTTAGAATATTCAAGTGGATCCCAATTCCAAACCTTGATAACTGGTATATAAAGTGATCAATGTGAAAGAAAAAGTGCACTTTTACCTTTAACAAACATAAATTACAAACATAAATTAGCTTGTGGTT